GCAGGCTGCAGTTCTGGATGGAGGGTGCAAGAGGCGCTGTCTTGGGAGACAGCCAGCAAGGGAGGTGATGTGTTTTTTTTACTCTTGACAGCAGAGGACGCATGGGCGCTTCGGGGGGGCAGGCAAGGCGGGGGCCGCAAACTATCATCTGGCGGGCCGTAAATGGCCCCCGGGCCGCATGTTTGAGACCCCTGATATAGAAGCACAGTATCCCACATTAATAAAATGGAGCTTTTTTGAAGAACTGAATCTTAACATAAGTAACCAGAATATGCCTCTTTGTGCATATTGCTTTGACCACTGTCACAAGTTTGTTTTTACTAGCCAGGCTCAAATTTCTATTATAGCACTCAAGCCGCTTTTAGTCCTGACAAGGTAGCTCCTTTTAAATGAATGAGACTTGTGCAGCGCTAACACAAGTCCTACTGATTTCCACAGGCCTAATCTATTTGAGATTAAAATTGGGATTAGCCCGTATGTAACAAGCCGTTTACTTGAAAGTGCACATCTTCAGAAAACAGGTTGATGACGAAGCATCAGCATGTGTGGACTGAAGGGATGGATGAATCCTCCAAGGAGCTGACAAACTCAATATTGCCAAAGGCAGAAATTCAATCTACAGTATGTGTTGATTTTATGTGCCAAGGTATCCTTGCCTTGTTCTCTTGAACTGTCAGCAAGGCAAAATAAATCTATGTATTATTCCATAACTGAGGAGGATGGCAAATCAACAAATCTCCAGTTGGTTACAGCTTCCTGGTCACACGCACAGTTACTAAGGAAGTGGTTATAAGGACAGCTACTGTACAGACATTGCTCTTGTTTGGTGCTTAACTGGGGCATGCGTGTGTAAAACCTGAATGTAAAATGGTGGTTTAGAAGCCTCAGTTGTGAAGGAGACAATGCATTCTTATGACAGGGATGTGGTGTTTCAAATTTCTCCTGTCCTTTTAAATGTTTAGGCACAGAATTAATTCACACTGCTATCTTTCAATAGGGACAGTCATGGTATTGTCAAGGGTATGTGGTGTATGTATGAGAGAAAGAGACCCAGTCTTTTAGAAAACATTAGGTTTGATTTACATCACTACTAGAGATGATATTGCAGGCGAGGTTGAAGCACTGTGAGGCAATACTAATAAGGACTACAGTGGACCTGACAGGGATTGATTGTACTTGAATTTCTGGTTTGAGATTCTGTTCACTTCTAAGTTACTAACCTATTACATACAACAGCTTCCTATGACACTTGTGTTTGTATGAATATATACAATACATATAATACATATAATATATATTTTGGAATGAGCTGTGTGTATCACATTGTCGTGGATTATCTTCCTCTTGTGAGGCTAGCTCAGAATTGACTCAGGAAAATACATTGTGTGGAAAACATGTTTCAGGGTTGCATTTTTATGTTTAGTTGGTCAGGGGATCATTCCAAGTTAGTAATATTATGTTAGAACCAGCTTTTTATTACCTTATTTTTTGAAGTGCCCATGAAAATAAATGTGATTTTTAACTCTGATGCACATGTTTCTTAAAATATGGTGGCATAATGGCGGAATTGGAGCCTGTGATTCTGGCTAGCCTTTATGCACCATTATTAAACATTCCTTTGGCGTCCCAAGGTTAAACTTTCAATGGAAAAAACATGTGGCATAAGCCTGTTTTGTTTTTACAGTATTGTTTTCTGCTTCCCCTTCTCCAGCTCTGATAAAACTTGGTAATACTTTATTTCAATTTCTTTAGAAAATGTCTGAATGTATCCAGCTTTCATTTGCTGTTTGTAGAATTGGCATTTACACGGTAAGCAATGTGCCGTCTTTTAAAGCAACACAGAATCTTGCTTAATTATTAGAATTTAACTATAGATGATTGTCTGTTGCATGTAGTCTAATTTCTGATTATAGTTCCTAGACATACGATTAGCGTAATGATCCTAGGAGGCTGCATAAAATAGGTAACTGTGCTTTAATTATGCACCTGTCAAGTTGGCTTCATGTTGTGTGTTTATGTGTGTGACTATATCAGTTTCCGTAGACATTTTTAGTTGTTGTAAAATGTTAATTTTTATCTCCATTTTTCAGGATACAAATCTTTCCCTGCCTGCTCGCAGTATTCTGGTTTAAACTAGGAGCATACACTGCATAGTGTAGTTATTCCAAAGCTTTCCAAATGAATTTTCAAAGTTTGGCTAAATATTTATGTAAACACTCTTCTCTGTGGACATTACAGTGTGCATAGATTACATTCATGTTTCACTTTTGTTAAACAGGCCAGCTGGTACAGCTGGAAGTAGTATTTCCACTGTGAGAAGTACAGTTTAAAAGACCACTTCAGTTTTAGAAAGAGTTATATATACATACTGTATAAATACAGTTTTTGAAAGCAGGGGACATACAGAAGAAACTTGTTTGTCATAGCTTGAAAGACATTATGTGGATCCATATGATCAGTAGAGGTCAACTTTATAGTAATCATTCCATGTGGGGGAGATCCATGTGGAGCAGAATTTCCCAAACTGAAGTTCCCAGATGTTCTTGGACTGCAACTCCCAGAAGGTCCAACTATTAGCTGTACAGTAGTAGGTAAGATTTCTGAGAGTTGTAGATCTATCCCCCCCCATGATGCTGCTCTTGTGTAGAGCTTACATGGATACAGCAGCCTCCCCCTTTTCACACTGTCATTCTGAATGTGATGATGGGGTACCACACTTCTCCCATTGTGTGTGGAGTACACATGCTTACAGAAGGTTTGAATACAGCCATTTTTAAATGCTGATCTAATTTGACCTGTGTATCCTTTGAGACTTAACAGGATTACAACAGTTGAATTCAAAGCCAGAGGGCACAGTAAGCCACCTGTGTTCATTCTTTCCTAAGGGAAAGAGTGAATTTTTGCAGCCCCTAGTCTTGGCAGAAGACCGGTGTTTCTGGTGTTCAACAGTCAGAAGAAAGGAAATATAAATATGGATAATGCTCTTTTGAGTTTGTGAGACTACCATTTTAGTCTGGTAGTCTGTCAGGAAAATTTGTCTACTTCTTTTCAGTATGGATTGTGGCCTCGTTTCATTTCAGTCTGCATGGAGATGCACAAATGAAGACAAATGTCTTTGGGCCTGTCAAGTATTGTGGAAGGGAAATGCAAAGTGTATACAGAGACGATAGAGCTTGAAGAAAAATAAATTACACACAAATATTCACTAGGAATATGTAATATTCTTCCAGAGAACAACTGGCCACAAAACACATTGAGATTTCTTGTTCTAAAGTAGAAGCATTTGTATACTACTGACTAAATGTAAACTACTTCATACAGGTAAAAAAGAAATGTTGCAGCAATGAGAACTAGGGTTGTCAAAGTTTGGCATCCGATTTGCTGTCTCATATTGAGTCCCAGTTTGGTTTGGACTGATTTGGGGCTGATCAGATATAATCCTGTTGTTGTTTAGTCATTAAGTCATCTCCGACTCTTCGTGACCCCTTGGACCAGAGCATGCCAGGCCCTCCTGTCTTCCACTGCCTCCCGGAGTTTGGTCAAATTCATGTTGGTAGCTACAATGACACTGTCCAACCATCTCATCCTCTGTCATCCCCTTCTCCTCTTGCCTTCACTCTTTCCCAACATCAGGGTCTTTTCCAGGGAGTCTTCTCTTCTCGTGAGATGGCCAAAGTACTGGAGCCTCAGCTTCAGGATCTGTCCTTCCAGTGAGCACTCAGGGTTGATTTCCTTTAGAATGGATAGGTTTGTTATCCTTGCAGTCCAGGGGACTCTCAAGAGCCTCCTCCAGCACCACAATTCGAAAGCATCAATTCTTCAGCAGTTAGCTTTCTTTATGGTCCAGCTCTCACTTCCGTACATCACTACAGGAAAAACTATAGCTTTGACTATTCGGTCAAATATAATCCTGGTCTGAACCAAATTTGGGGAGTTGAATCTTTGGGTCTTTTATTGAATACTATTGGAAAGCCAAAACGGCCACAGACACTTTTTTTTTACGAGAATTTGTGAAACGTGGAGTCTTTAAGGTCTTCTGTGTCTTTAAAAGACATTGAAGATAAGTAGGTCATAGGTTTTGTGCTAGTTACCATTAACTTCTGCTTTCATTCATTTACAGTTTGCTAATATGTGTGCTTCTTTTCTGGACTATGGTAGTGTGTGTGTTCTGCTTTTGCACCAGGAGTGGAGGAGTTACACTAGGTGCAAAGCTGCCACCAAATTCTGACAGCTGTTAAAAATGTTTCAGCTACTGAGAGAGAACCAGCAACGGAGCACAGGAGTAGAGATGGTTATTGATGATTTATTCTTCACAACACCTCCCCATAAGTGCTACTGTTGGAGAATGAAACCCTGGTGGTGGATAGAAACCTACAGCTGTCAGTGAGCAAAATGCAGCTTACTTCCCTCTGAATTTTACCAAAGTGGTGGTGTTTTGTTTAAACGGAGGTACCATGATACCTATCTTGCTCACCTAACATGAAACAAATCTATCCTATTTCCTTTGAACTCCTGCTTTTAGCACATTCTAGCTGCTTCCTTAGTAGATTCCGTCCTCTTTTTTGAAAGTGAGCTCCATGGTCCAGTAGTTAAACTGCAGTACTGTAGTAAAGCCCCTACTCATGACCTGAGTTCGATCCTGGCAGGTTCAAGTAGCCAGCTCATCCTTCCGAGGTCAGTAAATTGAGGTACCCAGCTCACAGGGGAGGGGGAGTATTCCTTGCATAATTATGTTATAAACTGTGCAGACAGTGCTCTAGCACTATTTTATTTATTTATTTATTTGTTCATTCATTCATTCATTTATTCATTTATTCATTTATATTTATTTATTTGATTTATACCCCGCCCATCTGGCCTAAAAGACCACTCTAGGCAGCTATGGTGTGGTATACAGTGGTTCCTCCCTAGACAGTTACCCCGCATGACAGTTTTTTCGCTAGACACTGGCTTTTTGCGATCGCTATAGCAATTCGCAAAACAGTGATTCCTATGGGGGAATTTCACTGGAACAATGTTTCGTCCCTGCTTCGCAAACCGGTTTTTGCTAGACGACGATTTTGACAGCTCCCTCCGCGCTCGCAAAAAGGTGTTTTCAGGACCTAAGCTTCGCAAGACAGTGATTTAAACAGCTGATCGGCAGTTCGCAAAGCGGCTTTTCTATGGCCGATCTTCACTAGACAACGACGATTCTTCCCCATTGGAACGCATTAAACAGGTTTCAATGCATTCCAATGGGGAAATGCTTTTCGCTAGAGAATGATTTCTCTAAACAGTGATTTCAATGGAACAGATTATCATCGTCTAGCGAGGCACCACTACATAAGTCAAAGCAACAACTATTTGAGAGGGAATCTTTAATTTTTTAAAAAACGTTCTTGTCTAATTACTAGTGCCACCCCCGGACCATAAGTTCCCATGGCCAAGTGAAGTTTGAACTCAAGTGTCCTGAGTCCTAGTCCATCACTCTATCTGTCTGCTATACCACACTGGGTACATTAGAGTGTGACAGGGTACTATTGAATGCACTTTAGGTACCATTTAGGATTTGTGATGGTGAATCAAAACCATGCCAAGGTTCTATATTCCTTCAGCTTTGCAGGAGAATAAGAGTGGGCATATGCAAGTCTATAGGAGTTTTGAAGAAACGGTACTTGGATATATTGTATTCTCTCTGTGGTGGGTGGGTGGTGGCTTCCATAGGTAATGCTGAGCAAAGGGAAAGAGAATTGTGGTACGCTGCTCCTGTTAAGCAATGAACAACTAATCATGAAAACAGGCACTGCTTTCTAGAAGTATATGATTCTTCTTCATTGAGTATATGGGATCTTCTGCACCTAGTACATTATTTCATCAGAACCTAGGACCACCATAGACTTTAGAGAGATCTGCTGCTTTTCCACATGTGCCCTGTCTTTTTGCATTAAAGTGTTTATTGGGTGAGATCCCATTGCCCTAGCACAGTAAATTGCAACTAGTGTTGGCCCATTAAATCGGGGGAATTGGTGAGTCAACTGCTCCCTATGTTCCATTGATTTAATTGAGCTAATTCTGATTTACCATACTAAAGTAAATTGCCACTATAATATGCCTACAGTGGTGCCCCGCATAGTGACGATAATCCATGCAGCAAAAATCGTTGGTATGCGGATTTGTCGCTATGCGAAATTGAAACCCCTTCAATGCGTTCCTATGGGCTTAAAACTTACCTTTTAAGCGAAAATCCTCCATACGGTGGCCATTTTAGCTGCCCGGTAAGCGAGGAATCCGTCCCTGTTTTACCCGGTGGCCATTTTGGAACCGCCGATCAGCTGGGGAAAAATCATTGCTATGCAAAAATCAGTAAGCGAAACAGCTTACCGATCATCGCAAAGTGATTTTCCCCCATAGGAAACATTGTTATGCGATTGCAAAAGCAATCACAAAAACATCGTCGCTATGCGGATTCATCGTTAAACGGGATGCCCGTTATGTGAGGTATCACTGTATTTGAATCTGTGGCACCTGCAGAGGAGTAGATTTACAAAATCTCCAGATTCAATGGGCCTAGTGGAACTTACTACACCAAACAACCGGATTTCAGCCGTTATGTGTTCAGTATTAGACATTACGAGACAAGAAGAGAGGCAGGTTTTGGGGAGAAAGTTCCATAGAACAGTGGCAGCTGGGTCTTGCTTAGTACATGTGGTATGGTTCAAGATAGTCCTATCTATTTCCCCCTCTGCTAGTTTAATTATGTTTGGAATACCAAACCTAGTCTCCTGCATTTAAATTCCATGGTGTCAATTTGTCATTTCCTGATCATTTTC